GCTGTACTGCGGCCGCGACGCCGAGCCCGAGCCGCAGGGAGCGCTGTTCCTGTGCGCGACCTGCTGCAGCCCGCAGCTCCTCAACACCGCTGGCGCTGGCGGACCACCGCCGCCGCAGCCGCTGCACGGGGTAAGTCGATCAGAGAGCTCAATACACTGCAAGTGAGGCTGTCGGGACACTTATATGCTGCGTTTTACCGACACAACAATGTTCGCGCAGTCACCTGCGACCTCACCCACGTCCCCCAGGCCACTGTCAAGTCAGAGACCGAAAGCTGATCGGAATGATCGTAAGGGTTACCCGCATTAAAGAAAGAAAGTACGTACTTCGTCAATCCGTCAATGATTGCCCCCCCCCCCAAATAGTGTATTTCGACAAACGAAGGAGGAAGAATAGCGGGTAGAACATAAAGGTTCCTGTTCGGCCGAGCGCTTACTCCCACTACCGGCGTGACGTAGAGGCGGGAAGCTCTTGACCAATCGGTAACGTTTATGTTCTACCCGCTATTCTTCTTCCCCCGTTAGTCGAAATACACTATTATTAGTGGTTTTAGGCCTTGCTGACCAGAGAGGGTGGGGGAGGGGCTTATTCCAAGGGTTTGTACGAGTTTGTACTGTGATTTTGCCTACCTTCCAGATGAACTCTTTCTCATTGGGGAGGGGGGGGGGCTGCCTTCCACCGCACTCCTCTTTTCCCTCTGTAGAGGATCTGTGCTGCGGAGGGGTCGGACGTGTTTCGTGCCGCTCCGTCTCCCTCCTTCAGGTTTGGTGGTTCAAACTCGGTTTTACAGGAACTGCTTGGTACCTACCGATCGGCGTTGTGCGCCCGAGTGTGCATGTGAAGTTTGGTGCCAATCAGTGCAACGATGTGGAAATTATCAGTGATTTTCTTGGATTTCGTGTTGGCGTCCCCTGCATTTCGGCCGTCAAGTGGCTGTGTCTGGTGCGCCGCACCATCTGGCATCTGTCGAGGGCGGCCGCGCCGCCCTCCGCCCCGCTCGCCGGGCCGTGCCTGCGATAGCCTGCGATTCTACGGTGGCAGTAATACCCCTTTTTGAAGTTGAAGTTGAAGCCAGCCTCCAGCGCAGGTTACACAGCGTCGGCGTGGCAGTGCAACGAGCTCAGGATTCAGTGCCCAGTGTCCAGTGGAGTGTCAGTTCAGTGTTCAAAGTGCAGTGCTCGAGTGTAGTGTAAGTGCAGTGCGTGCCGTCGCTCAAAGCCCGCGGCACCACCCCTGGCAACGTGTCAATCAACGGAGTCCAAGCTTCGGCGTTGAACCCAAGGTCTATCAACCGAGTACCCAGCGTTTGGCCTTCCCGACCGTGATGGAGTGTAAGGTGGCAGATATTTTCTCAACTTTCCTGGAAGTGTGTTTTTGGACATTTTCCCGATGGGCTTGCGTTTCGGGCCTCGCGGCCCGTCACGCCTCTCCGAACCGCACAAACATGCTGTTATGTGGGACGCCTGCCCCGCGAGGGACCAAGGACAAGGGATAGGTCATTGACAGCCTCTTCCCCCATTTTGCCTCACTGGTTTTTATAACGTCCGGACCCAAGCCTCCCCGGGCCATGAGCGCAACCCCGTCAGGGATGGCGGTCGGAGCGTGTGGGAGTGAGAGCGCTGCTTTGTCTATCCTCTTCGTGGAAACACAATGGGCAGGCCGAGTCTCCAATAGTCGCCACATGTGCTGGGCCCACTAATAGGCGTGCAGCCCCGGGGTCGCCAGCCCTGTCCAGACCTGCTCACCCTCCCCCCCCCCCTCCTTTCTCTATTTGAGGTCGGAACATTGAACACTGTTCGATCGGCCGTGGCCCACGCCCGCCAACCTTGCCGCCCTAGTTTAAGCAGTTAGAATAAGAACAAGAGGAACATCAAGGATCACCACGGCCACGCCCGGCCGATGGATGCAGCGCTGCCTGCCCGGCGGCATCCCGGAGCCGACCGCCCCGACGGAGCTGGCGGCCGCCTGCCGAGTCCCGGACGCGGCCGAGCGGCCGAGCAGGACGACGGACGGGACCCCGCTCGGATGCAGCGCGCCCCCGCCGGAATCTGCTGCTGCTGCTCCCCCGCAGCCCCCGCGCCCCCTTGCCTAGACGCGTGCGGGTGGCGGGGTGACTTCGGCAGTTTCGGCAGCCCCCCAGCGGACCAAGAGGGAAGACCCCGGACGTTCGGCTGGACTTCGGGGACCACGAAGGAGACGGCGGCGGCGGGCAGCGTGGGCGGGATCCTGGCGCGCGAGCGAGCGCGTCAGCACCATCAGTTGGTTTTGAGACTTGAAGCGCGTGGAGTGTGCGGCCCCCAGCCAGCGCGCCCCCGCTGACCTCGCGACATCAGCGCGCCCTTCGACCGGCTCCGTCACGTCCTGTACGAGAACAGGGCCCACATCACCAGGATTAAGTGCCACGTGATAGTGTGTGTGCAGTGCACCTAAGGTACGTACCTACCACCAGTGTGTGTGTGTGTGTGTGTGTGTGTGAAGTGTGATTCAGTGAGGCGTGCGCGTGAGTGTTTCCGGGCCCACCTGCAATCCTCCCCCTGCAGTTATGATAAGCCGATTGACGATGATACTATAGATTCTCTGTGGGGGCGGGCGTTTTCTCCGTGGCGTCCGTTCTGTTCGTCCTCGGTCGCAGTCCGCTGTCATCGCCCTGGTTGTGTTATAAACATAGCGCCCTTATCCCTTCGTCCGG